TGTCTGTTCTCCTCCCTCCCAACCTGTTTCTGACCCTTGTCTTTCTCTCTCCCAGATCCAGTTTGTCCTCGTCTCCCTGCACATCAGCCAATACTACTTCATGCCCAGCTGCAATTACCAGTACCCTCTCATTATCCACCTCATCTGGATGTATGGCACCATCTTCTTCGTGCTCTTCTCCAATTTCTGGTATCACTCTTACACTAAGGGAAAGCGGCTGCCCCGTACAGTTCAGCAAAATGGAACTCCAGCTATCACCAAGGTCAAGGCCAACTGAGAAGCATGGCCTAGATATTGCCCACCTAAGTGCCTCAGGACTGCACCTTGGGCAGCATCCACAAGTGTCCTCTCCACCTACACCTATGACCAGGGCTCATGTGGTCAGGACTGAGTAGGAGGACTGGCTCTCCCCTCCCCACAGCTGGTCTACAGGGACCACTGTTCCCATCCCTTCTCCCAGCCAGCTCCAGGGATGTGGCCTCACTGCTGTCTGCCACCAGAACTGGAGGCTGAAAGGGCTGGACACTTACTTCCCCCCCTCCCTGCCTTAAACTTGGGAGAGGAACACTCAGGGCTGGCCCCCACCAGGGTCTTGTGGCCTTTCTCCTCACACTGAAGAGGTCAGCAATAATCTGTCACAATGGACTCAGGCTCCCTTTCTCACTCCCCATTGAAGCATGAGCTTCTGGGCCAAAGGTCAGGATGGGCAGCAGGCCTGGCAATACAGGCTGTGTACTCATTTGTGTCTTAATTAAAGTGACAGGAAACCACGGAGATTGTGTGTATGTATAAATGGAGGGGGGCACAGCTTACAGAAGGGAGGGTGCAGGCAGTATTTCTAGCTGCTGAGGAAGGCTGCTGAAGCAGGAAGCTCACAAGTTCAATGTTAGCCTAGACCTGGTCTCAAAATAAAAATGCTCAGGGGTAAGGCTCTGGGATCAATCTCCAGTTCCACAACAAGAAAATGTGGCTAAAAGTTCCCACAAGACTTCTAGCTCTAATTAGAGTACGGGCAGCCCCTAGGAAGGATGCTTGGGACACAAGGAAGATACAACTTTATTAGAAAAATAAAAAAACAACAAACAAACAAAAGGGGTCTGTTTTCAACGGATGCCCTGGTGGATAAGGCTACTTTTAGCTACACTGGCTTTCTCCCTCTCCCGCCGCAGGGCAGGGTCCAACTCAAAGCAGCGCCACAGCCGCAGAGTCTCATCGGCTGCTGCTGATGCCACTGTGGCCCCATCTGGACTCATGGTAAGACTCAGGACCCGGGCTGTGTGACCTAGGGTAAGAGCAGTGCATTTGAGTATAGGCACATGGCCCTCTAATTTTGTTAGTCACCTTGAAATAAAATTTGAATACCATAAACTCACCTTAACTAATTCAGTGGTTTTCCTGTATTTACAAAGCTGTGCATTGTTATAACTAGTACCACAGCATTCTAAATCATACGTCCCATCCTCTCCAAAGCCACTAGCAAATCATTAATTCTTTACTCTCTCCACATTTATCTATTCTCAACATTTCACATAAATGAAATCGTACACTGCAACCTTTCTGCCTGGCTTCCCTTTCCCACCTACCTTTGAGCTCAGCCACCTTGGCCATGGTTGGGTACTTCCAAATAACCAGCTGGTTCTGGGCAAAGCCATGGCCTGAGATAAGCTCCTTATAGTGGGGAGACCAGAGGATGGAACACACCTGTGGAAAAGAGTTGTCATGGACATGACATACAGCCTGGGCTACTCAGAATCAAGTCCATTCTAATATTAGCAACCCTATCAGGTGCTATAGATTCAAACAATGGTCACAGTCCTTATGAAGCTGCTTGAGACAAATACCTATTTATGGGACATAAATCTACCAGTAGGAAGTCCACAAGTTGCCCCAAAGTAACTCCAACTATCTGACATCAGAGCCTGTGTCTGCAGTGTAGGCTGAGTGTTCGGGAAATGAAGAGGGGGAAGCTGGAGTGTTCACAGCAAGGCACAAGCCAATAGCGAGAGCCTCAAATGTTCTAATGTATTTGGATCATATGTTTTAGGTTGTGGGAATCACCACAGGTTTAGGGACAGTAAAATACCACTCAGACTGTGAAATAAGACTGGAAGAGGGAATGCTTGGGAGTCTGGGCATGGTGGTGTACACTCAGAATCTCAGAACTTGGGATGCTGAAGCAGGAGAATTGCAAGTCTGAGGCCGGCCAGCCAGGGCAAAATTCTGTCTCAAAAAAAAAAAAAAAAAAGATGAGACCCAGTAATGAGGGGACAGATGTGAACGATATTCCAAGATAAAACAATTCTCTTAAGGAACATGAAAGATTCTAGGGGGCTTTCAGATTTCTAAGCAATTCTGAAGCAGTCCATGAGGAACAACAATCATTTCAGGAAGGCAAGGTGAAGTGACAAGCTTCATTTGGGACATACGGAGGATGTGATGATACTTTAGAGGACCTATGGTGGAGAGAAGCGAAACTTGGAAATGGTAACTCAAGAATGAGGGCTGAGTTAGAAGTTCAGAAATGATCAGGTATTGAGTTGGAGTGGAATTGGTTTTTCAGTAAGTTCACACAGAAGAACACACCTGGAAACAGCTAGAATATGTTAAAACATGAATCGCCACTAACAATCACAACAAAAACTACCTGGGAATGGGCGTCCACAGCACTCAGACAGGCCCCAGAGCAGACGTTCCAAATTCGGATGTGTCGGTCACTGGTGCCACCTCCTGTTGCCAGAATATTGGACTGCCAGGGACACCATGCAACAGCCTACATGGGATGGACAAAGGCTGGGTCAGGTCAGTGGACAGACAGCAGAGCCAGTCAAGAAGCTCTAAGTGTCACAGTTAAACACGGTCTAATGCCACCGTGTCATCTCCCTTCAACAGTCCCAGTTTATAGCTGAGGTCTGCAGACCTCAGGCCAAGTGCTTTCTCACCTTGACAGCACCTTGATGTTGAGTGAACGTCTGCAAGGGAGCCCAGCCACTTTCTCCAGGACTACTAGGCCACACATTGACCACGTTATCGTTGCCACCGCTTGCCAGATGACGTCCATCTGGGGCCCAGCGCAGCCCACATACTTCCTGGCTATGGCCACTCAGTGTGGCCACATGGTGTTCTGCTACCCGTACATCATGGTGGTGGATATGGCCAGAGCGTGAACCACTGAGAGAAGAAAAGAGATTTAGTTCTGAGGCAGCACAAAATCAAGTCAGAGCCACTTCAATTCTGGATGTGCCCTCAATGGCAAGAGGTAGGCAGAAACCAAACTGCTACAGCCTAGCAAAGACCACTGACCTGGACAGAATATAGCTGTTCCAACTTAGAGAGCTTACTCGAGCGGAGTGACTGGTCATGTTCCGAAGCCGTTTCTGCTGCTGCACATCCCATAGCTGTAGAGGTAAGACCAGAGGATCAGAGAGTGGAGCTGGGCACCTCCATCCTTCCAGCTGGGCTGGCTCCTCCCTGGGGCTGAGGACAACAGAGCCACCGTCTTACCTGCACTTCAGCATTACTGGTGCCCACAGCCAGGTAGTTGCCCTCTTTGATCCAGGCCACGGAGGATATGTAGTCCCCAGGCTGCTCCATTTGCAACAGCTGCAGGATGTCACCAGAACCAGCATTCCATAAGTACACACTGTTGTCCAGTGCCACAGCCAGTACATTTCCAGAGCTCCAATCCACAAGGTTCAGGTCTGCCAGAGGCAGAAAGAACGGAACACGAGGTCCTTTGTTAGACTGGTCCACCCATGCCCAGGCTATCTTCTTCCATCCGCAAAGACAATGATGCACTTACAGTAGTCATTTCGGATCTCGGGGGCATCAAGTATCCTGTCTGGCAGGGAAGGGATGTATCGGCAAGTCTTCCGGCTGGAGCCAGGCGTGGCTTTCTGGCTGTAGAGTACTTTCAGTCTGTTCTGGTAGCCTGTGGCAACAGAGTGGGTCTAGGCCTTGAAAGTGATACTACCACCCTTGCCCTCGACTTTGCGCGGGGAAAGCAGGCACATGTCTCCCTTAGGAGGGACTGACACCAACCTTCTGGGGCATTCTGAGGTTTTCCACTGAGCCTGAGGATCTTGGCTTCCTCCACATCAAAACCGTTCAGGTTCAGAGCCCAGGCTTTCTGATGCTCCTGGCATAGAGAGGTGGCCGTGAGGCATAAGTGGTATCATCCAAGGGACACATAAGGTCTCAGGCATCGTGACCCCCGTGGAATCATACCTTCTTGGTGGGCGTCTCCCCATCTTCCGGCTGGTTCTCCTTGCTCAAGAGGAAGCTAGCCACCTCCATTTGGGAAGCACTGCGATGTGGGATATAGCGGTCACCTCCAGGTTTGCTAGGGGTGGTCTGAACCTTGGAATTAGATTTGCCTGGGGCAGGGAGAGAGAAGACAGTCTGTCGAGGCTCCTGGAGGGGGCTCGAAGGCCGACTCTCAGAGATTCTATTTCCCTCCCCGGACCCCCAACTCACCAGGAGTTCGGCCCGGGGTCCGGCCGGCGCTGTGAGATCTGTTGGCAGCCCGCATGGGCGAGGGGGCCGGGCCCGTGGCTTCCTTCGCTTTGCGCTGCCAGCGCGCAATGGGTGCATTGGGGATGGGCGTGTCCAGCTGAAGCAGAGAGTGCAAGTCGCTCTCGAACACGAACTGCGCCATGGCAGTGTCTACAGGGGCGAGAGGCGACCAAGTTCGGGACCGGGCCGGGCTTCTGGGCTCCTCCGGCCACAGCTCCCACCAGCCCGGCACCTCCCCGTACGCGGCCTTCCCAGGCACAGACCCCCGGCTCCTCACAGTTCGTCCGTGCGTCTGCCGAACGCGTTCTTGCCCGGACCAGCTAAAGGCACGCCGGGCTGTGGTTCTTAAACTCTCCGCTGCGAGCGCTCATTGGCTCCTTCAAAACCCAACCGTCTTAACCGTCGCCCTCGCCCATTGGTCGCCACACTGGAAAGGGGCGAGTCTTCCGGGAGCAAGTCTCAGATCTCACGAGAGTGTGGCGGCCCCGCGTTTCGAGTGGAATTCCGAACCCACCCCCGGGAGCCCTCCCGAGTCCCAGCCCGAATCGGAGCGCGGGGCGGAGTCTGCACCGCCGGTCAGCCCGCCCTGAGCATCCGCTCACTGGTTGACGCCCCTCCGGGTGGGATCGAGCGGTTGGGGGAATCTGAGAGCCTGAGAGAGGTCACGCGGGAGCCTGTGTGTGCGTGGTACTTAGGTTATATGCAGAAGGGTAGACTCGATCCCGAGGACCCGGTGACTTTGGCCAGGTAGCAGCCTGAGTGAGGAGAGCGGGAGCTTGCTGGCGTGCAGTCCGTTAGCCAGAAACCCTGCTAGGAAAGAAGTATGCGTGTGTGTGTGTGTGTGTGTGTGTGTGTGTGTGTGTGTGTGTAAAAAAAAAAAAAAAGGATCAGGATTCCTGCTAGGAAAGAAGTATGCGTGTATGTGTGTGTGTGTGTGTGTGTGTGTGTGTAAAAAAAAAAAAAAGGATCAGGATTCCTGCCTTTCTGTCCTTGGAGATGTTAGGCTGCTCTTGGGGGCGTCCTATGATTGACTCTCCTGGGGCTTTGGATTCTTGAGAATTCTAGAGATTCTGTCTTACCTGAGTTACACGCAACCTGCCAGTGAGCAGCAACCATTTTGTTTGTTTGAGACGAGGGTCTCACTATGCAATCCGGGTCTGGAACTCAAGTCTGCTGGGATTTAAGGCGTGTGCCGCCACACCCGGCCCAGAACCAGGTTATGTTGATGTAAAAACTAAAGCCCAAAGCAAGGAATTTGCCCAAGGTCGTAAAAAGAAGTTGGTAAGAATCCAGGTCTGGGACCTGGAGAGATGATTTAGGGGTTAAGAGCTGCTTGCTGCTCTTCCATAGGACCAGAATTTGGTTTGTCAGGCAGGCACACAACTACCTGTAACTCCAGCTCCAGAGTGGAGCATCCGATTCACTATTCTGGGCTCCACTGGAACCCAGCAGAACAGGTGGCATACATCAGGCAGACACAGACATTCACACACACATTCAGACACACACCACACAGAAAATCTTTTAAGGGGAGGGGGGAGGCCCTCGCTGACCCTATGAGATGCTGGAGGTCAGTCTGCTGGGCCTTAAAGCCTCACTGTGGAAAAATGTGCCTATGGCCCCCTGCCCCCACCATTGCTGCCGACCCATGCCTTGGGTTCATTTCCCTGTGGCTGCACCCTGACTCACAGGCCCCTTTTCTCCTGTTCCCATTTCACCTTGGGATCTTTCCCTGTCACTCTTCTTTGCTTTCTCAGGAGACAGCTTAAGAAATAATGGCCGGGCGGTGGTGGCACACGCCTTTAATCCCAGCACTCGGGAGGCAGAGCCAGGCGGATCTCTGTGAGTTCGAGGCCAGCCTGGGCTACCAAGTGAGTTCCAGGACAGGCGCAAAGCTACACAGAGAAACCCTGTCTCGAAAAACCAAAAAAAAAAAAAAAAAAAAAGAAAAGAAATAATGATTTCTAAAAAGAAAAAAAAAGAAATAATGATTTCTATATACGTCATTCAGGATTGTAATCTGGCTGTACTCAAAGATCAGAACTACAGCTACAGGGCCTTAAAAATGGTAATAGATTCAGATATCGCTGCTAACAGCTTAAAAAGTGTCTCTCCTTACTCAAGTAAGTCTATTCAGGCTTAAGAATGTGAACCAAGCCGGGTGGTGGTGGCGCACGCCTTTAATCCCAGCACTCGGGAGACAGAGGCAGGTGGATCTCTGTGAGTTTGAGGCCAACCTGGGCTATAGAGTGAGTTCCAGGAAAGGCGCAAAGCTACACAGAGAAACCCTGTGTCGAAAAACCAAAAATAAATAAATAAATAGATAAATAAATAAATAAATAAAAGAATGTGAACCTCCCTGTCCTTCCTAACTTCATTAAGCTGTAACTAACTGGGAAACCTGTATATTCAGATTTAAGTCATATGTATGCTCTCAAAGTTATAAATACATCTAACGGATTTTGTTCCCCCGTCCTCAAACACCTGTAGATCTGAGAATATGGCATTTAATATAAAAGCTTTTCTATAATAAAGAGACATGCCAGCTCCTGACAGCATCCTGCATCTCCTCCAAGAAGACGGACGGCCACAGAAAAACTTCCACCGGAAGCTCATGGCAAGGCTGGCCACGCAGTGAAAAGCTGAGATCCCGTCCAGACTGAACAAGTGGAACAATGGAGGACCAATTGCCCCATACTGCAAAGTCAAGGTGGGTCAGTCTCCCCAAATTTCTACTCCACAGAAAAAAATCTGTCAGATCTTCTGGGCTTATGAGCTGAACAAGTGCTGCCTTTGGGGCTTCTGTCCCCCAACGACCATGAAGAGACTTGGGATTGTCGCCTAGGTAGCTGGAAAGCTGTCTTACTTCTTCTTAAATTTATCCTTCTCAGGTATGATGGTGTTTGATGACTAGGGTGTATCAGTTTAACAGCCCCAATCCCAAGATTATTTATATATATATGCTCTCCAATTACAGACAGGTATGCCTCATTCACAGACTTCATGGTACAGGACAGACTGGTTTCAGATATAAATCCAGAAGCTCAAAGTTTTAATACTGATAAATGCAGCTTTGAAGAGTTCTTAAATGGATTTTTAACCCCTTTGCTATGATGTAAATGCATTCCAGCTGTCTGACAGATTCCTTCAGGCTCCTGGGAAAAGTTTTGCTACTGCATCAAGAAATCTGGTCTAATGAAAACTAACAATCTCCAGAGCCCTACATATTATTCGAACATACTTTGCAGATTCACTGTTCCCACCTGACCTCCAGAGAAACAGCAGATGCCATGGCTTCTCTACTCCTGATTTGGAGTGTCACTTCCCCCCAAGCTCCTGGAACACCATTGCTGCAACCTGCCTCCTCACCTCCCTCAAGGAACGTTCCTGAGACCTTCTGCCATGCGTGACTCCTGGTTCCCCCGTCCCTACTTCGCCCCTTGTCAGTTTGAAGTAGCCTTGAGAATTCAGGGCCCTTGTTCCCCCACTTGCTTCCCTAATTCACCTAATTTACCTCTTTTTATAATAGTTAAAATGGAGGAATGTTAATATTCTGATTCGCCCCTCTAAATCCCACCCCTTGGTGCTGCCCTGTGTCCTGATGTGAAAGCCTCATTCTAAGGAAAAACTCCTCTTCTTGCTCTCACTCTCTTCCACTTTTCCTCCCACGAGGTGCACACCCTCAACTTCTCTTCTTTTCTCTCTTTCCTATCTTTCTCTTCATCTCTCTATTATAATACTCTCCATGTGGATGCGGCATCTGGGTTGTGAATTACTGCCACCACTGCTGCCATGCCTGCATGGTGTACATCTGCCCAGCATGTTTCCCTGCGTGCGTGGGATACTGTCAGGGGTCCATCCCCCCATCCCCCAGCAATAATTCATAACACAGTTTACGAACTTTTTTTGGAAGCATGTTCTCATGTAGCCCAGGCTGGTCTTGAACTCCATGAAGCTAAGGATGAACTTGAACACCCTCCCCCCCAACACACACACACCCCACACAAGGTTTCTGTGTAGCCCTGGCTGTCCTGGAACTCACTCTGTAGACCAGGCTGCCTTTGAACTCAGATGTCTCTGCCTCTGGAGTACTGGGAAAAAGGCATGTGCCCCCCACCTCCCATATCTGGTAAATTCACTGAGCTCTTAAGGTAGATAAATCAACTGTCTTCATTTTACATAAAAAGGAAATTAGGTCAGTGAACCAGGCATGGTGGCACACACCTTTTTTTTTTTTTTTTTTTTTTTTTTTTGGTTTTTCGAGACAGGGTTTCTCTGTGTAGCTTTGCGCCTTTCCTGGATCTCGTGCTGTAGCCCAGGCTGGCCTCGAACTCACAGAGATCCGCCTGCCTCTGCCTCCCGAGTGCTGGGATTAAAGGCGTGCGCCACCACCGCCCGGCTGGCACACACCTTTTACATGTTAATCCCAACACTTGAAAGAAGAGGCAGGTGGTTCTCTGTGAGTTCCAGGTCAGGTAGAGACCCTGTCTCCAAAAAAAACCAAAGAAATTAGGTGGGAATGAATAAGAGACATTAACAAAGGCACCCCTTTGCAATCCCAACAACATGCTAAGGAAGGCATCAGAAAAGACCAGAGTTCGGTCCTAGCCTAACTAAGGTCATCCCAATGATGGCAGAACAATCTTCAGCTGTTCGTCTAAACTCCGTGCTGTCTCCAACTCTGAAGTACTCATTTTTCTGTTTCTAATTACCATGGAAAACTAGAGATTTAGTGCCCTAGAGTTCCTGAACCTCAAAAAATGTAGAAAAAGGTAGCCTAGTGTCAGGCTTACATGTTAAGCTAAGGAGTTTGGCTTTTGTCTGCCAGGAACTTTGGGAACAGTGGAAGTTCCTATGCAGAAAGACTCAGAACCCTGAAGCATGACAAGCAGTTTACTTTGTCCGTGTCTGGGTTAGGTAACTACTGTAGAGAGGAGAGACAGGAGCACAGTTGCAGTGAGATGCGTGCCTGAAGCCCCGGCACCCTGAGGCAGAGATGTTCAGTGACTGACTGGGCAGTGGTGGCGTACACCTTCAATCCCAGGACTCGGGAGGCAGAGCCAGGTGGGTCTCTGAGTTCAAGGCCAGCCTGGTCTACAGAGTGAGATCCAGGACAGGCACTAAAACTACGCGGAGAAACCCTGTCGCCAAAAACAAAAAACAAAAAAAAAAAACAAAAAAAAAATCACATTTGAGGTACTTGGGTTTCAGATCTCAACATCTGGATTTTGGAAACAGAGGACACAATTTACCAATATCCTCCCATAGAAACGAAACAGAAGCCAAAGCTCTAGGAAATCCTCTGATATCCACCCTGTGAATCAACTCTGGATCGACGCAGAGAAGGATGAAGTTGTGGCAAACAGATGGACTACAGTATATCCATAATTCATCCCTAGCCATTTCTCTATTCCAAGAGACTCAAAACTGAGCACTTGAACTCTTTATTCCTCTGCTCCCTCCTCCTGAAGGCAGGCCTGTCTGGAGGTGTTCCCTCTAGGTCTCGTGTCTCCCATACGGCTTGATGTCTAGGGTTGGTACCAGCTTTGTTATTAGCCCCATGGTACAAGGGACTAGTCCTTGATGGTTTTCTAAAAATCCTACCCTCCCCTTTGTAAAAGTGCCTTATAGTAAGCTTGTCAAATTGACTGGGAGCAGTGGCGCATGCCTTTAATCCAGCACTCAGGAGACAGAGGCAGGTGGATCTCTATGAGTTCAAGTCTAGCCTGGTCTACAAAGTGAGTTCCAGGACAGCCAGGGTTGTCCTTGTCCAAGAAACCTTGTCTTGAAAAAACAAAACACAACAAAAAACAAACAAACAAACAAAAAAATTAGATTAGCTTATCAAATTACCCAGTTTGTCCATCTGTCCCTGCTAAGACCCTGACTAACAAACTGGGTATATTTGGAGCCAGCAAAGACCCAAACATGATAACATTTGATTGAGAAATTGAATGGCTTAGAGGAATCTGTAGCTTGAGTAGTTTAAGTTTATTTACCATTGCATAAGAGTGACTTGAAATATGAAGGAAGTTGGCATGGAATTAAGGAAACATCATTTAGAAAGACTTTCATTAATTTAGACAATATTTATTGAAGGTCTATTACCTATCATGCCCCAAATAATATTCAAGGTGTTGGGGGAAAAGGACAAATCCTCGCCCTCATGACTCACTATCCAATAGCAAGAAACACACATGTAAAAAGTCACACAAAGCATCTTGGGCACTTTACTAGAAGTCTGGGCTGGAGACAGAAACTTTTTAAAAAAATTTTTTTTGAGACAGGGTTTCTCTGTAGCTTTGGCGCCTTTCCTGGAACTCACTCTGTAGCCCAGGCTGGCCTTGAACTCACAGAGATCTGCCTGCTTCTGCCTCCCGAGTGCTGGGATTAAAGGCGTGCGCCCCCATCGCCGGTCGAGACAGGAACTTTTTTTTTTTTTTTTGGTTTTTCGAGACAGGGTTTCTCTGTGTAGCTTTGCGCCTTTCCTGGGACTCACTTGGTAGTCCAGGCTGGCCTCGAACTCACAGAGATCCGCCTGGCTCTGCCTCCCGAGTGCTGGGATTAAAGGCGTGCGCCACCACCGCCCGGCTTGAGACAGGAACTTTTTAATGATCATCATATAATAAAGGCCAGAATAGGAGATGGAGAAGACATAATTAGGAGACTAGTTGAGGTACATTAAGTAGTTAACATATCTCTGCCAATGTGCTCTCAATTGTTTCCGCAGGTCTGTGGGGTTCTGATATTGTCTGTGCTTTGTAGATGAGAGGGAAAGGCTCGAAGGCTTTCAGCTATTGGCCTAAGTTTGCGCAGCTAGCAGGGGTGAAGCACAGGCACGGAACCTGGCTCCAGCCCCTGCATTGGTTCTACCGCTGGTATGCTCGGTGAGGCAGGAGCAGAGCCAGGGTGGAGGAAAATGCTGAGAGATCAAATAAATGGATGACCAACAAGACCCTATTGGATCCCATAATTGAAAGGCTTGACGTGAACTTGGCCTGCAGTTTCATTACCAATGTGGTAGTAGGGGAACTCTCTCTAAACGGTCAATGGGAGGTGGGGAAATAGAGACTTTGTTCCCCCAAGAGTTTGGTAAGAAGCTACAGGCATGGAACCTTTAGTTACAGCAGGCAGATCTCTTTGAGTTTCAGGCCAGCCTTCTCAATCTAGCTAGTGATAGGTCATCAGGGCTGTATAATGCAACCCTGCCTCAAAAAAAGCCCGAGGAGCCTAATATAGTAGTGGCTGTGGAGAAAGGGCTCTGGATTTGTCAGCAGCAGTATGGAGAGATCAGTGTTATAAAACCCAAGGTGATGGGTAAACAGAATGGATGGTGTTGGTGTTAAGGGCGGAGAAGTTAGTATGTATCTATGGTAGCAAGGGAACTGCTTTCAGGGTTGCTGCCAATAGCTTAGGGGTAGGTAGGAGTGGTTGGCGATGTGAGTAGTACAGCAGGACCCCGACTCAGCCATGGGTGGACACACAGACAGGGGCATGGTCCTCAGGCTAGGTTGCAGTCCTCGGTAGTCCATCTGAGGCTGGGAGGGACACAGGGGCAAAGGAGTCCTCTCTGAGGACTTAGGTAGGATTTCCAGGAGGCTGGGTTCCACTTCTTCACAGGTAACGGTAACTGTGGCCTTAGGCTGAGAGAGATGAGCAAAAGGCGCTAGATTAGGCAGGCATGGTGCACACCTTTAATCCCAGTACTTGGGAGGCAGAGGCAGGAGGATCTCTGTGAGTTTGAGGCCAGCCTGGACTACAGAGCGAGATCCAGGACAGCCAGGACTGTTATATAAAGAAACTTTGTCTTGGGGGGAAAAAAAGGAAAACAAGAAGAGCTGAGCTGAGTTAGAGCGGATTTTAGGGTTTGGGGTGGGCTGGATTATATAATAATAATTAGGCTAGCGAGTAACACCTACGGATAGCAAATGTCTAAGCAAAGATCATGAACAAGTTGCATTGTGGGAACGAGAGTCATTGGTGGTGGGGTGACTGGAGGAGGGAGAGTTGGGGCATACTCACAGGACTTAGGGCTGCAGTATCTCTAAGGTACTGGCCTAGGACCCGGTGTAGGTCTGGAAGGGAGGGCCACACAGCATGCCTCAGTCTTCTACCAGAGAAGGAAGAGAGAGAATGTGACTCGGTACTGAGCTGGGAGTGATGAGGTGGTACCAAAGTGGGAAGTAGGGGAGGCAGTGAGGCAGAGAGCCAAGTCTGGAGAGGCCACCGTCACAGCATGTTAGCCTTCCCCAACACTGCCCAAACCAGCACATCTTCCGTCCCCATCACCCTCTGGCCCGTGGTCTGTTGTTTTCTTTTTATTTCTTTCTTTTTTGTTTTTTCGAGACAGGGTTTCTCTGTGTAGTTTTGGTGCCTGTCCTGGATCTCTCTCTGTAGACCAGGCTGGCCGTGAACTCACAGAGACCCACCTGGCTCTGCCTCCTGAGTGCTGGGATTAAAGGCATTCACCACCATGGCCCGGCCTGTTGTTTTTCTTAACTTGCTATATATTGACTGTATTGTTATGGTAGTTTGTTCTTATCTTACTCCTCCAGAACACAAGCTCCGTGAGAGCGCGAAGATTGTCTGTTTTTCCCCATCTCTATCCCTTGCCTTGAGTCCACAGTAGGTGCCTGAGAAATCGCAAGAGTGAAGGAAGAAAAAGGGGGAGCTTCTTGTGATGTTGCTGCAGAAGCTTGTCTGGGAAGAGTACAAATTAAGGTATACTGGGGAAGCTTCCAACTCTTTGGCCCAGATTTTCATGTTAAAGGGCTTTAGCCAAAGGTATCCAGCCTCTTCCATGACCTCCACCCCCATCTCCTGGGAGGGGAAGTAGCTTTCTGATCTCAGAAAAGAACCCCGTGTGCCTGTTAGCAATACCACTTCCCTTTCTCTGTCCACATTTTTTTTTTTTTTTTTTCAGATATGGCTACCTTGAATAGAGGCTCCATTCTCGTTTGCTCTTACTCAAAGGCAGACTAAAGTTCAAAGAAAGTCAGGCATGATGGCTCATGCCTATAATCCTAGGACTCAGGGTGGGGCAGGGTGGAGTGGGGGGAGCTGAGGTATAAGGATTGCAATGAGCTTGCTTGATGTTATGCTGGACCATGCAGTGAGTTCCAGGACAGCCTGGGATACAAGTAAGATCCTGTTTGGTTTTTTTTTTTTTTTTAAACCAAACAACACCTTCAAAGTGCGGTGTGG